CTTAAATAGAGAATCAACTTAAGAACCCCAAGCGTCCCAGATCCGCCCGCTGCTGAAACTGACCAGCAGCTGATTCCAGGAAGCCCGGGGCAGAGCACCCCAGCTGCTCTGCTCCTGGGTTCCCAGGGTCAGCCGCTGGTCAGTTTCAGCAGCGGCTGAATCGGGGAAGCCGGGGGCAGAGCAGCTCCAATTGTCCAGCACTTCCGGGTTCCAGATGGTGCCAGATCATCAGGAGTGCCGGACTATTGGATGCCAGACCACTGGAGTTTTACTGTAGATCCTTTAACCTCTACTGAGAAACTGGCTCCTTGTAGAAATCCAAGAAGAGCTTGCAATTCAAAAGCAAAACAAATTTTGTGCCTGTTATCTAAAGGCCCACATGACTCTGAATGTCTTCATCAGTGTGTAAATTTAACTCTAAGATTTTACTAGCATATATGCCTTGTGCTTGCCCTCTGCCCAGGATGAGTTTAACCCACAATATGTACATTAGCACAAAACCTAAAACGTATCAGACGCATCTTCCAAAATATTTCAAAACCCATTGGCAGGGTGACCGTGTGGGATGTAAGTGAAAGTTTCATTAATACACATCTCTTTAGATGCTCAACTTCTACATTCTGCCCCTTCTTCATTTAAAACCACTGGCTTCTAGACAGATGTTACCATGGACATCAATATTATAGCATTTCAGAGATTTTCTTTTCCTCTCTCCCCCCTCAAAAACACTCAAACCAAAACAGGCAATTACTTGATTTTTTTTCTTCTACTGGAGTTTTTTTTTTTTTTTAAGCAAATTATATTCTTGCCTATTTTGGTCAGAAAAAAAAAATCTCTAAAATGACCTGAATCTTCTCTGTAAATATCACGTGCAAGCATCTAATCAGAACATCTGAGGTTATAAAAAACCTGTAAAAGCACAGCGCACTATATTACAATTCAAACGTCAGGACTGCAACGTATCAAACAGTGTGGTGACACTGGCGGGCCAGATGACAGCTCTTGCCCAGGGCTCTAGGCATTGTCTGAGAGCTGACAGCCTTGTAGCTGGAGACCAGACCAGATCACCTGTATGTTAGTTTTGCTCAAAACTTGTATTTATTTAAAATGTGTTTAATGTTTAGACTCTACAAACTACTTGTAAGTTGTGGCTCGCATTAGTCTCGCTTGTAGTTTCTGTACTCCATCCTGTAAGAAAATATGTAAGTTTTGTTGTACAATTTTGAACTCTGAACTTGTGAACTCAGGCAAGGGACTCATCCCGCACCCCACCCACCCAGGAGTATCAAAAATCAGATGGGCCACCACGAATCTTCAATACAAAAAGATTAGTTAATGGTCCTGTCCCACCTAGAAGTGCTACCTGCTCTCCTGTGGGCATTGAAACTGAATGAAAGAAATAACACAAAGCCAATGAAACATTTTTCATCTTTTCTGTTATTTGAACTCTGAAAGGCCAGAGATTCTAACAAACAGAGATCCCCGGGGTTGCCTGCTGAGTCTGCCCTGAAAATACTTTGAATTGACCACGAGGAGTCCAGTGGCACCTTAGAGACTAACAGATTTATTAGGGCATAAGCTTTCCTGGGTAAAACCCACTTCATCAGATGAACTGGCAGACACTTTTAGGATTTAGATGCTACCTCATGTGTGTATATGCTAAGCTGCTAAGAGATTCTCATTCCTTTTTTCTGGTTGTTAATCATTTAGTTTCATACAGGATCAGCTATCGGTGTTCTCTCTGTGTAATATTTAGGGAACCTACTGATCTGTAGGTGTGACTCTCTTCTGTGCCTGGAAGCAATGGTATGATTTTTGGAGTAAGTGATCTTTTATCACTAAGTCCAATTTGGGTGGAAGATAGGCTGGAAAATCAAAGGGGACTCCATCGTAAGGCTGTTATAGTGCAGGAGTTCACATTTATTCTGGACTTGATGAAATCTAATTGTAGGACACATCACCAGTTTGAGGGCTCTGCCCGGAGGTAGGTACTCATGGTCATGGGCCACTGGGCACAGCATAACAATTACTATCAAGTGTTTTACTGTTTAAATGGATTCATCTGAATTCTGGTTCAAAAACGTTCAAGACCAGGAGGCACAAAACAGGACCATTTTATGTGTGTTTGCAAAAATCTATGTAAGAAAGGCAAATACATAATCAATGGCTTTCTTCAGCAAGGCAGTGGTTCCGTAAACCAAGCTTTGGGTTTCAGAACCTTTGTTTTTAACAACAAAAAATAATCATTTGCTGATAATCTCTGGGTTTCCAGTGTTTACTGACATGACTTACTGTTCTTGCAGCAAGTCTGCTGTTTCTAAACTGCCTGCATTCCTAGACTTTAAAATAGAATTATTCAGTGGTGAATTTTATGCACAGAAAATGTAAGTGCACCTACTTTATCAGCCTTTCACAGTTCACATCTTTCCAACAGGAACCCTGCCATTTCAAGAGCCCGGCATGACAAAGCCCTCCATTTATAGCAAATCTCTACAACGCTTCTCTCTCAGTGATACTCACCATTCATTGGACTGTAGTGTAGGGGATTCATTCTGCGCTATGTGATATAAGGCACTCATTGCATTCATATTAAACAAAGGAGGCTTCCGTTCCGCTATACATAAAAGAAAACAATTCATATAGAGTGAAACAGTCTTACGGTTTTCCCCTTAATTTATTCTCATTGCTCATAAAAACACAACAGTGGGCTCACACTAATGCCTGACCCAAACCCTGCAACAAGAGGTGCTGCCATGTGCTCCTACCATTGGTTTTACCCTGGCAAAAGGTGAAAGCGCTTTGGAGATCAAATGCCTTGCCTCGCCAAGCTTTCACATTCTGTGGGTGGTCATGGTGGCGTTCTCTGAATTCACTCTAAATTACCGAAACACAAACAGCAAGAGCCACGGCATGGCTGCACAGCCATAGTACGGGCTCCGAACAGTTAGTTACACAATTGTTTTTTTTATAGCTTAAAAGTACTCATAATCCAATAGGATGGTAGCAATGTGGACAAAGCTGGTTACTGAAGCTGTCGCAACCACATTTAACTGTTTGGCTAATTTTTTTACTATTCGGAGGGCAGGATTCTCTTGGGCTTTCCCCTCTTGCAAGCATGTGTAATCTCATAGGACCAACACAGCATGAAACTTTAATAAGGAAGATGATTTCACCAAAGCAACAGAATAGATGGTTCATCAGCATGTTTACTGGGTAAAACTGAAGCTCACTGCAAACACTCCAAGGAAACTTCAAATTATGATGACATTTACACCCAAGGGGAAAAGCAACTAAGGAATCTTTTTTAAACAGGGATCAATTCCTATTTTTCAGCTGCTGATGTGCTGCTGGTGCTTTGAGACACATTCTTCCCCTAACCTCCCCCCAAGTACTGAACAATAATATATACAATGGATGTCAATGGACACTCTTCATGTTTTAAGATTTAGTAAAACAGTCTCATGCCCCACCAGGTGACCAGAACTCTGGAACTGAGGGATGATTTCTGCCCCACGCCTGCCGAAAGTCATACAAAAGGACAAGCACACTTCAGAATACAAAAATACAGTATGAAATAAAGCACAAAAGGGGTGTGGTCACCATGAGCTAACTGCATTCTTGGGACACTGCATCCAGCCTAACCTCTAGTCCACTCAGAGCATGATTATATCATGACAGCCACGCCCCTTAAAGCTGCTTTCTATTGGCAACAAAAATTTTGACTCTGAAGGAGTCTCTTGGACGGACTGGAAGAAAAGGAAACTGGCTGCCTGGAATGTCAGACAGCATTTTAGCTTAACAGTGTGGCTCACCCGAAGTCGAGTATTTCTTAGAATGCTCACTAGCCAATCAGATTGTTCATTCAGTCACTGAAGCTTTAGAACAAACAAGACATGATAAGGCAAGATAGTACAGCCCCAGATACACTGGGATGCAGGCAGGGATAGGTCTGCCACCTCAGAGTGCATTGGCACGGAACAGCATGAAAATATTATCCACCAGGGAGAATGGAAACTCGCACGTAACGAGAACCCTTTTAAGGAGACATGCTGCTTCAAGTAGCCCATTCTAACTGCAGCGCCATGATTTATTTCTTGGGTGAGGGTGCTCCTACTTCAAGACTGGATTGCCAAATCTTCCTTAAGAGATCTTCCAGAGAAATCTGTTCATGTGTGACAACACACGCTGCCTAGCTCTTTTTACCCCAGGCTTCATTAATACAGGACTCCTCAAGGAAACTTTACACAGTATTCAAAAATGGAAGTTTACATTTTGGTTTTCACTTTTCTAGCCATATGTGATGTTGGTTCTGTAAGGTCTATTTTCTGTATTTTTCTCAGTTGTGGCTCACGCTTTTTCTTTCAAAGATTAACTGGCCCCACACAGACAGTAAAACCCCACTAATGCTAGAGTGTGTGCTGTCTTCCTTGTCTAGAACAATCTTTGTAATGAAACCACAGTGATAACTTGGGTTTAGTCTACACTGACAATTGAGCGACGAAGCTTTTGTTGATCAGAGGCGCTTAAACACCTTCCCATTTCCCAGGGCAAAAGCTTTGCCACCCAAGTACAGGAATGTTCTCCTGCCCACAAAGCAAACGCTGCTTCTAGGGATGGAAACAGCAAGGAGACCTGTGGCACCTTACAGCAAGGGTGGGGAACTTAAGGCCTGGTGACCGGATGCAGCTCCCAGCTTGCCTGATTCCAGTCCCCGAGGCTCAGGGTCCCCTCTCCAGCACTGGAGAGCCTGTGCTGGTGCTCCAATCCTCCCCCACTGCTCACCTCTGACTGATTTTTCTGTGGGTCAGTGGCCCCCCAACCCAAAAAAGGTTCCCCCGGCCCGCCTTAGAGCCTAACAGATCAGGGAAGCTTTTTGTCAGCAAAAGTGTGGACAGTGTTTACACTGCTTGACTTTTTGCAACAAGGCTGTGTCCACTAGGGATGTAAAGTCACGTTTAATTGGCTAACATTTCAACTTATTGTTTCACTGATTAACTGATTAAGGGGGGGCACTCCAGCCTGACTGGAACACCCCGCTGCCCCACACCCCCGGCTGCAGCCCTGTCAGCAGGGTGCCAGGGCCTGCCATGGACAGAAACTGTCCCATGGGATGCCGGAGCAGCCCCTCTCTGTGGGACACCAGGGCCCATTGCAGGCAGAAGTTCCATCACAGCAAGCCCCCCATGGGGTCAGAGCTGCTCCACCCCTACTGGTTAACCTTAACCCATAAACCTCAGCCATTAAGGGTGAGGCTAACTGGTTAAACCTTCACATGCCTAGTGCAGACACAGCCACATTGCTAAAACTGTGTAGCGCAGACATACCCTCACTCTTGATTTTTGATAAATACCCGACCACTTCACGCTAAAGACCATTTCTAAACAAGGAAGCACACGCAGATCTCATGCATAGTAACTCAGCTCAATATGCTCCAGCATTAAACAATTCATATCCTCAGAATGAAGTTTAAACATTCCTTTTAGTAGAAATTAAATATACTCTACAGCATTTACACCACAAATTGGACATGGAGGAAAATCTGTCTGGTAATCTAGTACTTTTAAAGGAAGATGGCTTACCTAACTCAATACATGTTATTCCAAGAGACCAAACATCTACTTTGCCATCATACTGCCCTTCGTCCATGGCTAAAATTACTTCTGGGGCCATCCTATAACATAAAAGTTAAATTCTCATAAAATTCTACACAATCATTACAATACTCCAGAAGCATTTCAACCCAATTGACCATGGGATAAATTGACTATTGTGAACTATAAAAAAGCAAGAAATACGGATACACAAGATATCAGGCATGTGTCTGGGTCACTTCAATCTGGATTTGGAGCCCAACTTGGTGAATTCCAGAATGCAATACAACTGGTTGAGCTGCACAGGCAAAGCCAAATGGTGAAATCTACACGATACAGTCTTGCCCTATACTCAGGTTTTCACATTTATGAGCATTACAACTGTCCACATCTCCAACAGTCTTGTCGGCTAACCAATACTGTGACGTATCTACCACATGAGCATAAAACAGCTGCTCGGAGTCAGACCAATGGTCCATCTAGCCCCATATGTTGTTTTCTGACAGTGACCAGTGCCATATACATCCAAGGGAGTAACAAAACAGAGCAATTTCGAGTGAAGCTGTATAAACACCAATAATTAGATGTAGAAGCTGAAACCATACAAGATTTCTACAAAGATTTCTGTTTAATCAATCTGGTATTTCCTACGGGGGAAAAATCCTCTTTAGTAATTTGAGCAACAAGATGCCATGAGAATGTTTGAAATTTCAAATCATGGTATTGGTTGAATAAAGCACGCACATATCTGCTTCAAGAGCATCACTGCTTACAGTCAGGATAAATATCACAGCAAAGCAGATACAATTTATGAACAGTAAATAAAACACTGTACACATTTGAACAGAACAAACTTCCCATAGCATTCAAAACTGTATTTACAAAACACATTTTAATTTCAACAGAACTGCACTGTCACAAAAGAGGACTGTAGTAAGGTCCAAGCAAACTGGACAGCCCACCAAAAAATGTCACTTCTTGAAGCCACAGATGTGTAAAAATTTTCCTTACCAATATGGCGTCCCCACAAATGAATTGGCAGGAGATGCTATGGAAGCAGATCCAAAGTCAGCAAGCTTCACCTGGCCTGGCTCTGTCAGCAGGATGTTTCCTGCCTTGATATCTCTGGTTATGGAATACAAACATCACAAATCAGTCACACATTCAAGTTATAGGATGAACAAACTGACTCCTGTACCAGAGTTTCAGTAATAAGGGGGTAAATCAGCCTTATAGCATGCCTGATCTTGCGATCTAGTTTGGTATCTTAAAGAGCCAACTTCAGATTTCAAGTATCGGAGGGGTAGCCGTGTTAGTCTGAATCTGCAAAAGCGACGAGGAGTCCTGTGGCACCTTATAGACTAACTGAAGTGTAGGAGCATCTGACGAAGTGGGTCTTTGCCCACGAAAGCTTATGCTCCTACACTTCAGTTAGTCTATAAGGTGCCACAGGACTCCTCGTCGCTTCTTCAGATTTCAGTGACTTCTAACTGAGCACCAAGAAGAACCATGTAAATTACATTCATCAAAACCATAAGAGATGGCTCTCCCCTTTTTTAGACAGACTACAAAAATTTAATAGTTCCAATAACTAAGCCATTTCACTCCTACCAAAATGTGACAGGTATCTTTTTTAAAAAATATGCAGACTGTTTGCCTTCATTTCGCCCTGTCTATGTATTTACATAAAACTAGTTTTTAAGAGGGCTACTACTTTTATGTGAAAAAATACAAGGCACTTTTCACACTGAAGTTGCCAAAAAGCTATTCAGTTGAACTGTGTGCTTAGTCAGCCTTGGTGTTCTGTGCTTCAAGGGATGATCATCACCACTGAATTCAACCCTGTAAAGTGGGCAAAAGCACAGCAAATTCAAGTCACTTCTATAGCAAAACAGGTACAAGAGAGATTGCATGCAGGGATCTTCTTGGCACAGTAGAATTATGAATAACTAATTGTAGAACATATGGACACTGCAAAAAAAAAAAACTCTCTACAAACCTTAAATGTCATTTACATCATTGGGGTGGTCAGCCTGCAATCAACAAGATAACTTCCCTGCAAGTGGGTGACACTAACTCTGGCTGTACTTACCTATGGATCAGATTGTGAGAATGCAAGTATGCTAGTCCCTGGAGAGCACCGTGGGTAATTGCTGCTATTTCCACCTCTTGCAATGGCTTTTTATGAACTTAAGAAGAGAGTGCATTTGAAATTCATTATTAAAGAAAACAATCCAGTTTATAACATTCAGTGCATACTTTCAAAGATGTAAACAGACCTAGAAAACTGTAAGTTCTAGTTTTACAAGGCCTATGTCCTGCATGAGGAACACATGCAGTTTACAAGTAGTTGATAGTTTAACACTGCAGCTACTCATTCTATAAGAAAAAGGCCGCATAGCTATACAGGTTGGACCTCCCTGGTCTGGCACCCTCAGGACCTGACTGGTCCTAGATGAGGGATTTTGCCAGATATGGGGAGGTAATTGCTAACCCCCCGCCACCGCCTCCACCCTCTCCAAGACCTGGTCCAACCACCAGCCTCCGGCCCAGCTCCCAACTCTTGTTGGTCCCCACTACCCTGTCAGTCCGCACTGCCACTGCAGGCCGGACTCCTGCTGCCACGAGGGGCTCCCACTGTCCCACCAACCTGCAGGGCTCCCAGGTGCTAGGTCACCACCAGGACTATCTGATCCTGTCGGACCATGGATGTTTCCAGACCAGAGCTCCTGGTTTAGAGAGTTTCAGCCTTTATTCACATCTAAATTCTTGTCAGATTTTTTTAATATTTTACCAGTGATATGTGAGGTGAACATTTAATTAACCATTAATGAATTTCAACAAAAAAATTACAACAAACTTCAACTTAATGAGTGGCTATATAAAACTGTAGCAACGCACACTGGTGAATCCAGGCCACCAAATCTTTTCCCCAGAACTCTTCCAGAGGCCAAATGAACAACTCGATAGCTCATCTCAAACAGTGCGACAGGAAGTGAAGGCAACTAACAAAGCGCCTCATTTAGCAAAATTTTGCTACTGGATGAAGACTTGTTTAGAGATAGTATGAGAAGACAAAAACTGTGCCTAGGAAAGCTATATGCTTCAGAGTAATGCTGCAGAGATATACATTTGTAAGTTATTTCAATTTTTCACCCTACCCAAATAATTAAAAAACTGAATACTGCAGAATAACTTTGATCCATAAACTATTTGATTATAAATTTCTTAATTTCAATCAAAGTAATCTTTGAGACATACCTTCTAGTAAGTCTGATGCTGATCCTAAACAATATTCCATAACAAGCTGTGTGGGGAGAAATCAAAATAATGTATTACAGAATACCTAGAGAGAAGTAAATGGTGACTAGATTGTCACTGGACTGTGAACAGTGTGTGATCCAGCACTCATTGAAGTACCATGAATCTTGTGTTCTGCTGAAACTACCGTTATCTCCCAAACTTTCAGAAAAATAAGCCTAGGCCCGAGGTATTGGAAAAAAAGAATTAACAAAACCATTCCAACAGCTATACTGCCAGTGAATTTAAATTCCCCTCACACTGTACCTCTGTGATAAGCAAAGAAAAGGGAGTAGCATGTTGTATATGATGGCTGGAGCAAGGGCAGTGTTTAGTGATATAACCCTATAACACTGAACCACTAACAGAACGGTGTGAGGTTTACACTGAACGTCTGCCACTTTAGCTCTGCTGGCAAGAGCCCTAGAGCTGACCAGTTATAACAGTAAGAAAGGGCTTCTGCTGGGATAGCTTATTTCAATCAGGACACAAGTAGAAGCTTTCCCAGCGAAAGCTACACGAGGTGCATTTGCTGGAAGAGTTACACTAGCAAACCTTTCCTGGTGTAGACTAGGCCTAACTGGAGAATACCTGCTTCCAAATAGGACAATACAACAATCTAAACTTATTTGCAGCATAGGGCCCTATTCTGCCATGTTACTGCTTTATGAACAATTTCCATTGAATTCACAGAATTGCCTTGTAGTGAGGAATCACACAGAGCAAAAGGCACAGGATTGTGCCCATAGCACATTACATACAAAAGAGAGAAATAACATATATAGTTACTTACCAGGAATACTAACCTTCTATTCAGTATGTTTGCCACAGCATGTATGGCTAACCATTTGGATTTGTATTTAGAGTATTTGTTATAATTAGATTTCTCAAAAGCTTTTACATATATTTATGGATCTTACAGTACTATGGATTTTGACTTATGAGCAGTATTTACAAATGAATATAATGCAGTACACAATGGTTTTGCAATACTGAACTATTGTAGTTTTAGCAATGGACTATGTGATATGCAACTTTTTCATGTGTGTGTGTATATCTATCTATCAGTATATATGCAACAAGCATTTAAAATTAAGACTATTTTTGACTGTATATGCACACATTCCGGTCCACTATTTGCAACCCAAACCCTGCAGCACTGGTCTAGTTCAGTAGTCCCCAAGCATTTCTGTCCAATGCCCCCCACCCTCTGACTTTTACCTACTCTACACCACTGAGCTGGGGCTGGGGGTGAGGCCAGAGTGAAGCTGGAGCAGTGCAGAATAGGATGGCATTCCTTCCTCACCACCCCTAAGGTTGTCTGGGGGCCCCACGGCACGCCTCAGTTTGGGAACCAGTGGTCTAATGTGTAACAGCCAGAAAGTGAAATTGATTCATCAGACTTATATTATCCAAAGTGTGTAAAAATGAAAGGCAAGAGAAAGAAATAGCATACAATGGGTAAAAGTAAATCAGACTGTCCAAATGAGAATTAAAAAAAATCTGACAGAAAATAATGCTATTTTATAATCTGACTCTCCATTTAAAAGAATTACCCAGCTACACATGGAACACAATCAAAACAGAAAACACTGAAATGCACTGGGACATCAGCTGTGCTGTTTGACAGTAAATACAATTGCCATGCTTGTTTCCAATGCAGTGAAAATGAGTGAAACGCATTCTTCCTCTCCTCCGAAGGGAATCAAATGGCCAAGTACTTGGTTTCTATTTAACAACCAAGCAACTAAATGAGCTGTGGGCGTTACCATCAATACCCCCCGTCAGCAAGGGAGGAGAAAGTTTTCAGGTTCTCTGGACTTGCCTTAGTTGGCTCTCAGATTCACTGAATGTGGCTGCCCATTTCTAAGCATCTTGGGCTAAAACCTTTCCCTTACCACTCTCTATAGGAGACAAAGATTCAAGTGCCTTCCCCTACAGCAAAGGCACTCAAACCTTCTGGCCTGCAGCCCATCACATGCAGCACAAACCTTTCCGTGGACCGCCAGCCAACCATCCATGATGACAAAATGGGCTGCTGGGTGGGAGGTAGGGTCCAGGCAGGCCCACTAACAGGGCAAAGAGGGCAACTGCCCCAGGGCCCAGCCAAAGGGGCCCAGAGCTCCTTTCAACTGTCAGGAGCGCTGCTCCGTGTAGCTGTGAGGGCTGGGGAGAACCCAACACCACGGTTCGGGTGGCACTAAGGGATGACTGCCTTTGGCCCCACCCCTTCCACTCTTAGTTCAGCCCTACCCCTTCTGGGGGCACGGAGCTGCTCCCCCTTGCCCTGGGGTGGGTGGTTGTCTGGGGCCCATGGTGGGTGCAAGAGCTGGCTGGGAGTGGGGGATCTGGCTGGGAGGTTTGGTGCAGGGGCAGGCTGGGAATGTGGGGAGGCTTCTCAGTGGGAGGGAGAGTGCACGAAGGGGGTTGCGGGCGCTCACCTGGCTCTATGCCCCCTGCCACTTCCAGGCACCACCCCCCACCGCTCCCATTGGCTGCAATTCTGGCCATGGGGAGCAGTGGGGCAACCCCCCAGGCAAGCAATTTCCTGTGCTGCCATTGCCCCTTCCAGAGGAAGGGGGAGCGACAGCAGCACATGGATCCGCTTCCTCCCCCACGAGCCAGATCCGGCCTGCGAGGCTCAGGGTTCCCTTCCCTCTCCTCCTCCCCCCCGCAGTGGGAAGCTGACACTATTGCTCCACTCTCGTAGGGGGTGGGGTTGGTGGCTTAGGGCTTCCCGCTGAGGTGGGGGGGGAGTGAGCCCCGAGCCTGCAGCCCAAGTGCAAGACAGGGAAGAGAACCACTGTCCTACAGCCAGCTGGAGACATGTGTTTACTTAAATTTGCCCTCCACAAAGCAATAGAAGAGCAGAGAGAAGAGCAGCTTACCCAAGCTGTATGCTCACGCAAATAGCAGCCTTTGTATTCTATACTGTTAGGATGTTTTATTCTTTGTAGGAACTTGACTTCCTTAATAATATCCTGCCATTTCTGTGGAAGAGAAAAGGAATAGGAAGAAACTTTACAAAATTATTACTTAAAAAGATAGAGAGAGAGAACGAGAAGTGACCTAACCAAGACAAAACGGGGGAGACCTGCATCCTCCTCAAAATATTTGAAGTTGGAAATTCAAAAAAAAAGTTATATTAACATGTTGAGTTACACGCCTCAACGCTGCAAAAAGAAAATGTCACATTTTACAATTTTATTTATCTAGAGAATAAAAACATGAAGGAATTAAATTTTGTGGCAAAGTTCTCTCAATTTCATATTTTATACACGTGCACGTGTAGAACACAACACAACATTTGATAGCTGAGCTTTCCTGTAGAGGACACACTTCATACTCCAAAAGTTAAGTTGTCTCTTTTTAGAGAACACCCTTTTCCCAGCCAGCCAAACACAACCAAGGCTAAAGGAGGTCAGGAGAGCTGCCATCACCTTCTGTTACTGCCTGCTGCCTTAAAATCAGCCTGGGAGGTGTAAAGACCCAGCCCTGTTAGTAAGTACATTACTTCAGGTCAACCTTCATTTGCCATTCTCTGTTTGACTATATTCTGGATATCATTTCTCCTTTATCACTTTCAATCTTTACATACAGCAGTTTAAATTACCTTACCTACTGATAGGTGAATAGTTCTATGACAATTCATTCTTAAAGGAACCCTGCCAATGTACAGATTACTTTCAGTCTGAACACGGTCTATCTTATATTGCTAAAAATAACACCTCCCATTACTGCTTGCAGTGTTGTTGTAGCTGTGCTGGTCCCAGGATGTGAAAGAGATAAGATGGATGAGGTAATATCTTTTATTGGACCAGCTTCTGTTAGTGTGAAAGAGAGAGAGGCCTTGGAGCTTTTCACAGAGCACTTCTTGGTCCAATAAAAGATATTACTGCCTCACTCAACTTGCACCTAACATGACTGTAACTTTAGAATTAGAGGGGGGGAATCTTGTTCCCCTCCGCCCCCCCCCCTCCACACTTTCTGCTTTGACATCATTTGCGCATGGTCAGTTTCACTGTTCCCCCTGGACTGTCAGTCTCTCAGCCCCCTTTTGTTTGCCTTCCATACACATGGTATTGGGGGGTAGGGGGGGAAGAAGCATGTTAAAATTAGGAGAATATGACTGAAAAATAGAATTGGGAAGAACACTGGATGAACAAAGCACCTGAAACTTAACTCAGTTTAACAACTGACTAGATTTCAAGGTGATAGTGTTCCCTTAACATCAACACAAATAAATCATCAAAAAATAACAGCTCTGATGTTCATCTAAAAAAGAAAAATCCTCCCTCACATTAAAATCAGAAGGTGTAGCTCTGATTTTGTGGGCCCTATCAGCCCTAAGGTCCAATTTCTTTTCTAGGACCCATGCAAGATAGAACTGTACACACAAGGCCTACAGTACAGTTCAGCACTATAAAATCCAGGCTCAAAGAAAGTCCTTCAAATCATGACTGAAGAGAATACCAGTAAAAGAAAAGGAAATAATTTTTTCAAGACTTCTGTTTACATAATGACTCTGTACTTTTACACCTCATGCCAACAGTTCTATCTTATCACCTATGCACAGAGTTGTCCAACTGGGTCACCCTGAATTCATGTAAAGTTCAAACTGAAAAGAAAAACCCAAGAGAAAAACATTGTTTGATTTAGAACGTAAAGGTGACCTGCAAAGGAAAAAAAATGGACTAAGTCTCTTTTTTTGTCCAGAGATAATGAATTAAAGGTAGTTTGAAAGTTGTCAAACAATGCACTTGCTTCCTTTTCACGTCAAAAATATTCAGATTTTGTTTACTCTGAAAACCTTTGGTGAAGGGAGAACTAATTAACATTAGTTAACATTAGCTCCTGTTCTGTTCACTCCCTCCAGGGTATCTGGCATTGACCACTGTTGGCAGACAGGAAACTGGGCTAGACCAGGGCTACTCAACATGTGGCCTGCAATGCGGTTTGGCTTTACGCAGGGCTCAACACGCGGCACACAGGTGGGAGCCAAAACAAAAAAACAAAAAAATAGTCAATATAATGATCTTCTGTTGCTATGTGTGTTAGTAGTTAACTTCCTGGACTGTCATTGCTCATTAAAAATGCTGTCATATGGGTGGAAATTGAGTAAATATTGCATTTTATTAATATCAGCAGAACTGACTTACATGGGGCCTGCGTGTTGTGTAGTCTTGCCTTAAACTTTGTATTCATGCCTGTCAGTGTGAAAGAAGCTATTTGTATACCGTATTTTCCGGCGTATAGGGCGACTGGGTGTATAAGATGACCCCCTATCTTTTTAATTAAAAGATAGGGTTTCATCTTATACCCCAGCGCCCCTCCGCCTCCTTTGCTCCCGGTGTCCCTGGTCTGCTGGAGATGGTCCCCAGCAGACCAGAGAACTTTGTATTCATGCCTGTCAGTGTGAAAGAAGCTATTTGTATACCGTATTTTCCGGCGTATAGGGCGACTGGGTGTATAAGATGACCCCCTATCTTTTTAATTAAAAGATAGGGTTTCATCTTATACCCCAGCGCCCCTCCGCCTCCTTTGCTCCCGGTGTCCCTGGTCTGCTGGAGATGGTCCCCAGCAGACCAGAGGGGGCTCCGGCGGGGGGGCAGCCCATGCGCGCCTGGGATGCCCCCCCCGCCGGCTTCCCCCGGCGCTTTTC